TAGTCTGGCTTGACGTGACATTCCTGTGCTTGTGTTATGGTTTGAGATTCTCCTTTGGGAGTTGCTGCTCTGCTTGGGCCCTGACAATAAACCTCGAGAGTTTTTTGGTCCTAACCAGGAGGCTTGTCACAGTGTTTGTAGCCAACTGATTTGAACGTTGTAAGCAGATACATTCTTTTGTGCTACCGCACTCTGTTTCTGCCTCTTGAGATGGAAAAGAAGGACCTTGCTGACACCAAGAACAGCTCTGCCTTGTGCATACACAACAGTTCTTTGACCTGTCTTTTGTGGAGGGCTTTGCCTCTTCTACAGACTTAATTGCTTACAGTGTTTCTTGTAAAGCCTGCTGGTTCAATGACCAACCTCAGCTGGCAGGGAAGGCAAAGGAGTCTGGTTTCTTTTGAAGTGAAGATGACTTACTTCAAACGCGGGCCAGCGGATGGGCCTGGACTGAGAAACAACGTTTCATTTGGATGTTTTGAGAGGCTTAAAAACCTCTGGGTCACAGCCACAACCTTTGTAGGAAGTGATATACTGTGTAAGACACAGTGAACAGACTGAACACCCCAAAAGGTACAAGAGAACATCTTACTTGCTAGATGTATTTTACAAGCCCTGCTGAGATTAATGCAGGAGCCTGTGCTGGGACTAAGCTAGGACAGTGTTACATAGAAGGACGGGTGCCCCAACCACTCACTGGACCTGGAGGATCAAATCTGCATCAGCCATTCCCACTCATTAGCTGTATTTTTTGGCAGTGGAGAAGTATAGGAAGTAAGAAATGATTACCTAGTAGTCCCATCTTCTTGCTTTAATGTATAAAATTTCTACTCTGCAGGCCATCCACAAGTGGAACAGATTACAGCTGCATGGCCCTCATATTTCCTTCACCAAGTTCACCAAGTTGCTTGTGATATTTTGGCCAGACTTAAAAAAAAAAAAAAAAAGGAAAATGAGAAGAGGGAAGATTCCTCTTAGATTATATGTGCAGGATTTTTATCTCCCTTAGAGAAATTTTGAATAGTTCCTTATTATACCAAAACAGTTCAAAGCTATTCAAAAGAAAGCAACAATTATTTTTGTAGTGTTTAAGTAGAGACTGTTTGAAATCTTCAGCCTTTTGCAGCTATAAACTGATGTCTACATGGCCAGAAAAGCAAAATTATGGGCATGGTCTTTATCACCTCATCCCGCAAACTAGACCAGAAGAAGAAAAAGCATGGTTAATAGAAAAAAAAAAAAAATAAATTTCTGAGTTTCTGTATTTCTAAATTTAAAACTAATATTTAAGGAAAAGAAATCCTCAATATTTTTAATTTTAATTAGGTTTTGCTGTTAACCATAGCCAACTTCAAATTTGGCACAAACCTGCAGGCTGTTCAAAACAGAGCACAGGCCAAATACATGCTGTAGGTAGACTAATACAAATTTTTAATAGCAATTAATTTTCTCTATATTCATACCCTTGAAAGGATGCTGCAGACTTTCCCTTGTATGTTTGAAGGTGAATATGCTGGGATAATTGCATTTCATTGTTGCAAAAGAACATTAACCTCTAGAGGAGTCTGACTCCTGCCAGGACCACATTTGCTGTTGGCTAACAGCAGTGTTGATGTCAATGCAGCTGCTCCGTCTGACTTTTTAGCCATTCATCTTTAGATTTCAGTCAATGTCTACCTGTAAAGATATGCTCAGAAAAGTAAAAGGACTGGCAAGTTGTGCATCTGATTGTGGCAGAGAGGAGCATGAAGATTTACATGACTGTGGGTTTAAACCACAGCTGACAGATACATTCTTTGCGCACAAATGCGTTGATAAAAATTAGGTTGTATGCAGCAGAACAGACATTTTTAATGTGTCAGCCCAACACAACATGTTACAGTAGCTGGGCTTAGCTGTCTGAAACTAATACTTCATGGTAGTAATTTCACTTGAGAGTAACAATAGTATCTACTCCCATTGCAGAGTGGCAGTAGTTCATGACAGCATATTGATTTGGAAGACTTCTATCTCCTTTGAAATATAAGAAGGTTTTGAAATATAAGAATTAGTATCTCTGGCCTCTTTGTGGTTTTCATCATGATTTGCAGCTTTGGTTTCTTGCAGCATCAACCTTAAGTTTATTATAGGTACTAAAATCTATCTTCAGGCTTGTGATGAGGGCAGCTACAAATGTTGGGTGTTAGCTTCTGGGCTAAATATCCATATCAGGGTTTTCTGAGACTGTGAGAAGGTGCTGGACCCACTACCTGAGATGGTGCCTCCCTGTTCCTGTGTTCCTGACAGAATTCTTTGAGCCCTTCAACAAAATTGTTCAGGAGGTCAGATGATGTTTACTTAAACTTGACAAAGCACACTGCTGAAGCTGCAGAGGACTGTCATCAAGGACTCAGTAGCAATGGACTCAGGACAAAGCAAGGATAAATGGCAAGGTCTAAGAGAAATAGACCAAGGCATCTGTGTTATAAGCATTAATTTCTCAGCTGGGTAATTATGAAAGGAAAGACAGCGTAATTTGCAGATGATTTTAGGACATTAAGGACCAAAGACAGGAAGATCTTCCAGAAGCACCTACAAGGTAAATGGACAGACAGGACCCTGCCAGACAAAATCATGCTGACTGTTGGGTAAATACCATAAGATGGTTTGTGTCGGAAGGAGCCTTTAAAAGTCATCTAGTCCAAGCCCTTGTCAATAAGCAGAGCCATCTTCAACGAGATCAGGTTACTCAAAGCCCCATCCAGCTTGGCCTTGAACACTTACAGGGATTTACCACCTCTCTGGGCAGTCTGTGCCAGTATCTCACCACCCTCACAGTGAAGAACGTCTTACTTATATCTGATCTAAATCTACCCTCTTTCAGTTTAAAGCCATTTCCCCCTTGTCCTGTCCTGCCCTTGTAAATGTCTCTTTCTTATAAGACCCCTTTAGGTACTGGAAGGTTGCAGTAAGGTCTCACTGCAGCCCTCTTTTCTCCAGGCTGAACAAACTCATTTATCCCAGCACAGCCATTTTGCTTTGTATTGCTTGATATCCACCCTTCCTGCCATAGTGTATATAGTTGTGGCAGTTGCTAAGCATGTGAGAAACGAGGAAATGCTAAAATAGCAGTGCTTTCCAAACAATAGAAGTTAAATAAAAAATTGTAGTGCTTATAGCATAGTATGGGACTACTTAATATTTTTAGCCTGATCATACCTCTATACTGCTAATCATTGTACATGCATTTGAACATCACCCATTTTCATAGTTAAATTAAAAAGGATGAAGAGCAATAGCCACGTGTGGAGGGATTTGGAGTTACAGGTTGCAGGGCTAATGAACCCTCCAGATCTGTGGTGCAGTGATTTGTACTATGCTGTGGCACACTGGGTTTCAAAGCAATTCATACTCGTTAGCAGGAGGAGCTAAATGTTAGTTTCAGCCTGGGTGTGAAGGGAATGAGTAATTTCAGCACACAGTATGTATATTACTTGCCTTTGTTAAGACTATCATGTTTTTAACTTGGCTCTTTTTAATTCTTTTCAGGCTTTATCAAAATAGAAATCACAGCCATAATTTACATTCCTCTCATTATAAACTGTATGTTAGGAAAGGACAGTGAAGAAATTCTGGGAAGTAAAACGTGATCTAATACATCCTTGTCATGCTACCTGATGCATTGTTGTTCAGGATATAGGCTAAATACATGAATAAAAGACAATTAAGTTACTAATTCCTGTAACACCAGTGAAGGAATGACAACGATGAGTTAGACATGGCATGACTAGTAATAACTCCAAGATAATAACACTGGCCGGAGTTTCATGTTTTCACTTGCTTACAAATCTATTTACATTACTACTGAAAGTGATGTATTTTAAAACAGTATACTTTAAAGAACATAAAAAAACCACCACCACTCCCCAGTCCCCATCAGAATCTCATTCTGCCAGTTAAAGTGCTGTCACAGGAGTCTGTCTCTGGTGACAGTGACAGTGACAGTGCCAGCACTGACAGCCGTCTTGGTGCTTGCATGGCAAATGGCCTTCTGACAGCTTAGAAAAAATGTCAGCATAGCAGCTGCCCCTTTTCTGGAGGTGTTTTACCAAGTTAATGTTGTTGCTGTTTTGAAATTAATTTCTTTGCAAAACACAAAAGAAGAAAGCAATTTGCACAAATGCCAAGAAAGCACATGAGTCTGTGCGTCATTAATTAAGCAATCACCTGCTTCTTTTTCTTCTTGCTCTCAAGAAAATGTTGAAAAATAGCAAACTAGCGTGACCTTTAAAACTAGAGAGGTTCAGTGGTCATATCTAAATGAATGTACACATCACTGTTTCAGGTGGGTTGGTCTTTGAATTGACTGAGAAATTCCACTCAAAATAAAAGGTTCAGTGTAACTGAGCAGAAATCAGCTATGTAACACAGTGCTATGGCTAGAATGAAAATACTGCAGAAATATTAGAAGAAATGGCAGTGTCCTTTCCCAGTAGAGTAGCTGGGACCATGTTTTTTCCACATGACATGTCAGTGTAATTGTAGGTTTAGTGATGTAGTGAAAATTCCTTTCAGTTAGGGATTTTGGCTTCTTCATCCAAATATGACATGCAGCACTATACAAACTTTGTCCCTGTTGAAAAGAGGAAACAAGGAGAAGCTGTCTGAGAGTGCATCAGAGGGTGGTATGTGATGGAGGAAGTTCAGGAGCTGTGCAGTGCAGGTGGCCTGCACCCAAGCCTGTATTCAGTTCACTTCTTGCCCTGAAAGAGACTCCTTTTCACCCAGTATGGACAGAAGCCCTCTCCCCTTCATGGGGTCAGGCAGATGGCTCAGAGCTAGAGGGAGGGAAAAGAGAGTGTGTGAAGCTGCTTGACCTGCTTAAGCAGGTCTAACATTAACATGTTGCCCTCTAGTCAAATCAGATCTTATGAGAAGAACCCCATTCTGTGCATTTCTTTTTTTCTTTTTTTAAATATAAGTGCTGCTAATGTCTTCTTCTTTTTTTTTTTTTTCCCTAGAAATGAGAAGAAATATATAAGCAGATACTGGAAAGAAGTGAAAGTTGGAGACTTTGTGCAGCTTCGCTGCAATGAAATTATACCTGCTGACATACTGCTGCTCTCCTCAAGTGATCCTGATGGGCTGTGCCATATAGAAACAGCTAACCTGGATGGTGAAACTAACTTAAAACAAAGACAGGTAGTGAGGAGGTTCTTAGAGCTGGTAAGTTGCCATTCTTAACTCTCACTTAAGGTAAGAATTTGTTTCAGGTAAGTAAACTGTTCACCAGTCCACTCTGCACCGGCTAAATATGCTTGTTCTAGTAATGCTGATGAATTATTGTTATGGTTGTCATTGAAATGCTAGCACTTGCCAGCAGCTGACCTCATCATAGTATCAGAAGTTTTACCATAATTTTTTCCTGAGTTTGAATAGGAATTATCTGGTGCAATTGTGTGTGGTTGGAAAATGTTGGGGGTTTTTAATGGCTTCTATTGTAGCGTGATTTTTGAAAACATATTTTAACTCTCCAGTGAGACGATATTTAAATATAAACAACTACTTTTCCTGCCTGCAAACCAGATCAGTTTCAATTAGGAATTTTGCCTGAAACTCTGTGTTGCAGAATATCCCTCCAGCACTTGGAGCATTAAAGCTTGTAAGATTTAAAGGGACAGCATACATGCATTCTGGAGGTGTCTGTGCTGAAAAGCTGTTGTACTGCTCTCTCACTGGGCTTATCTCTCCCCAACAGCACTACTTTGAAACAAAACAAAATCCAGATCAGTTGCTTTCAGCAGAATTAGAGGAAATTACCTGAAGTTTTACTTGCTTTAATAATCTTACTGAAATAGTATTTCTTTGCATACCCTCCTTTCTCTTACCTCTTGCTAGCTAACCCCAGTTTCCTGTATTTTGTTAGGAAAAAAAAAATATTTTCTAGGTTTCAGCTAAGTCTTCTTTTCCTAGTAGCTCTTCTCATTTAATAGATTTTGTAAACAGTGGAGCTGCTGCGCATACCATGGCCATTAAACGTAACTACACAAGCCTATAGTTATACTGAGGTAATCACCATTAATGAAGTTGGAATCCTTTGAATAGGATAAAAATCAACATGTCTTCCAAATAATTCTTTATGGTAGATAAAGCCTCTCTCTGAATAGTGTGTGAAAACATGAGATAAAGAATTGTTTAATAATCAGTGATTTCCACATAGAATTTAGATATGACACAGCACCTACTGCCACGGCAAGAAGCCTAATCAGCTACAGGCCAAATGTTTCAAAAACTTTTGGTTGTTTCAAAGAAGCTGATTGAATTGCTTCTCAATCGTCCCATCTCCTTCCTACTGAATTTTTTCCCAGTGAGTAGAACTCCAGGGTGGTGCTCAGATGATGTATCCCACTTCTCTGCCAGCATAGACTTCCTACATGACCTCAGGCAAATTATGTAGGACAAAAACTATAGATTGCGTATACACTACTGAATAGAGGGATGCTTTCATGTTTGTGGTTAGTTATAAGCTGAGGGCACATCCCAGCTCTGTCTCAAAGGAAGACCTGGGGATGTACCAGTTCCTCCACTCATATACAGCAAATGGTTGGATTTCTGTGATCTGAGACTATCTGACACACAGCAGGAGGTGCTGGTAAGCAGTGTTGAAGTGTCAGATCATCACAAGACTGGCTTTCAAGAATCTTGCTGCCCTGAGGAGTCCCTTGTACTACCTCAGGATCCCCAGTTTCCTGGTGGCAGAGTCATGATTCATCACTAGGAGTGTGATTCTTGGAATCTGTTGGGCTGTGAGGGGGTCTGCCAACCCTAGAGCTGTGAAGCCTGAATGTATGCCCAAGCCATCAATCGTGGAGTCACTCTTCTGTCTTCAACCTGTAAACTCATGTGTGCATTAATACAGCAGGAAAACCAGGAGGGAATACCCCTGCAATCTCATGCTTGGCATAGTCAGCGGGCATTAAATTGCTGATCCAGACCAGGCAGCTGAAGACTTCAGGTGTGGGTTTTGTGCAGTTTGGCAATACCTGTAACCTTTAGACTGTTGTGTGGAAGTGAGTAGCAGTGCCTTTTCCTCCTCGAACAGTTAAAGGTTATTGGAGACTGCATTGGACCTAGTTAGGCAAGAAGGCTGAGGAAACAGTGGCCTCCTAGGGAAGCAAAGCTAGCTTCATGTGCCAAGCAGCTTAGCACATCAGGGTATATGTGGCATAACTTGCTCAGTATACCCAGCTTTACTGAGGAAGTCAGATATCATACAGATAGAGTCAGCTTAGAGTCAGCTTTATAAACACCTACAGCACTTTGCGTTTCTACTTCATCCTCCTTCCAAATCTTTGTTCTCTGTATTATAAGATGATTATAGAACTTTTATTATCTCAGAAGTGTGCTTTAAGATATGTGGATAAATAATTTTTAAAAACAGATTTTATATCACAAGATGCCTAGCTACAGTAGCAGAGAGGTCCATAATAAATTGTCAGGCATTAAACAGGGGCCAATGACAGAAAGCTTATTCATTCCAATGAAAATAGTACTGGGCCCCAAGAAGTCAAGTATTGAAAGAGAGCTTGTAAGAAAACCACATGTGACTACCTCCCCTCTCTTAAAATAGCCAAGAAGCAGGAAATACCCAGCCCTGGTTTCCTGCATCAGCTAAGTCATAGGGAAAGTGCACACTTGCAAGTACCAAGTCCTAGGTCCTCAGCAGCTGCAGCATCACAGACTATCTCTGTAACAGTATCCTTTAAGTTACCCAGCAGAATACTTGCCATCCTTGTTAAAGTTTTGGCCAACACCTGTCTGACCACACTGTTAATTCATGCAGCAGCATTAGCTTCCTCATTTCATGCTAGTAGGGATAGGATCTTACTTGTTCTTGAAGGTGTTGCTCTGCTGAGAGGCACTCAGCAGTGGGATAGAGGGAGCTGCTTTGGAAATGTTGGATGAACAATAGGCCCACAGCCAAATATCGTGGAATAAGCAAGGCGATGCCCGTTTTTTGGAGTGAAGTTCAGTTCCTATCTGGGTATCTCTTAAGTGGCAAAAACGGAAGAGAGCTTATTGTGAGGTCTCATAAAATACTTTGGAAGACCAAAATTCTCTTGCACCGCATGTTGACCATCCTTTTACCAAATCTCAGGAAAGTTCATTCACAAATCTTACAGGACCTGCACCCCCACTTGTTCATGCATTGGACAAGAACACTTTTACATTTTTATATTACCTCTGCACTCATCAGAACAACTCTCAAGTTATGCTCATAGTTGTTTGGTCCCGTGTCATTCTGCAGCCCTGTTTTTCAAGCAGGAAAGCAAACAAATAGATTATGTAGACTTAACCGTCTTTTTCCCACACTGCTAAACTCTTCCCCCACCTCTCTTACAGGATGACGTGCCTGGTCATGTGGCTTATCATAGGACAAGAAACACAGATTTTTTTGAAAGGTTCTTTTTAAAATAGCTGTCAACAGCTGTCTTTGAATAATGTCTCTGTAGCAGTATCACAAGTATTAAAAGAAGCTTTTGTGTTACAAAGCTTGGCCTTTCTGTGTTTCTTATATGAACTAACTGGTAACTTCCGAACACGTGCCTGCGAAGCAGGTTTATATACCCGTCATTCTGCTGAGCATAGGCAAGGAGCGGGGATGGGGCTAGGAACAATTGTTTTGAGTAACTTCTATGCTTTCCTTATTTTGTCCCTGCCCTGTGCCTGCTCATGCAGTTTACAGTCCCACAGGTCTGTGCTGAGCTGCTCGCCATAGAGAGCCTGGCTAACAATTTGGAGTCACTGAAGCGGGGTATGCACTGGTTAGTCCTCTTGCAACCGCAGTGCTCTCTCTAAAAGCCCTCTCCAGAGGCCAGCAAGCCCAGTGCTGTTACATTGGGTACAGCTGTCCTCTAGAAGGGCAGCTGTTCTGCCAGCACGTTCTGAAGGATTTTTGTGTGCCCCTCTTGAGCATTAGCAGCATGTAAGATCCATAATCTCAGAGAGTAAAAGCTGTTACAGTTTCCCCCTTCCAAAACTTCATTCAGAAAAGTACTATTCTGATCTCTTTTTAGCCTGCCTCTTGAAGCAGCAGTAAGCAATTATAGAAGCTGTTTTGTATGCTTGTCTCCAGTGCTTTGCAGTCATCGTTTTACTCTAAACATATGCTGAGAAGATCCAAGATCAGCATTTGTGGGCTTGGGTTGGACCTCTCCAGTTGTGAATTCCAATAAACTGTTTTCCTTTATAGTGCAAGTGACCAGAAATTTTGCTTATTTTAGTGCTGCTTCAATTTGTCTGAGTGATTTATAGTACACTGGGAACATACTGCTTTTTAGCTTTGTGTGTTTGTTAACGAATGTGATCTGTCTGGCACAAACCTGTACTTTCTGTATGTGAAACCCTATCAATATATAAGCTGTGGGAAGGGTCACTTTTGTATTTGTCTGTGGCTTGTATATCTGAAGATACCAGTTTGCATGTATACCTTTTTGTTCTACACTCAAAATAGTTAAGAAAAAAAGAAAAACACTCAGTGAATAGGTAGTAAAAAGGAAACAGGAGATTTCCAAAGGCCTTGACATCTTTTTCCTGCAAGACTTTAAATACTGTGGACTTGTTATCCAGCTACTACAGTGATAGGATGTGATAGAAATGTTTAAAGCAGTCAAAAAAGAAATTCTGCATGTTCTGTCTTTAAAGTCAAAAGGGTAGTGGACTGTGTTCACACTGAAACATGAATCAGATCCATGTGTGCAGCATGACATTCTCGACAGTGCAGCTGTGAGAAAGCACTGTACTATATCCCAATGTGAGTGATATAACAGTGTTAGCAGTGACCACTAAGCATCTCTTGGAAAAAACGAGTGTTTCTTGGTATTCCACCAGTTTCCTTCTAATTTCTAACACACCCTTGCTGTTGCCGAGTCACAGCAGCCTTTTCTGGTATGCTGGATCTAACAGGAGACACAGTAGGCAGGAGGAATCAGTGTGTTTTCTGTGCTACTCTGCAGGCTGCTGTGCCACCACACCCTCCACAGTTGCTTATGGAATGTTTTCCATCCATCTGAGACGTGTCAACCGCTCTTCAGAGAGTGGATAAGCAGATACAGCTTAGGCTGTGAGAGCTCAGAACTCCCTTTCAGGTTTCATAAACTTGATTTAGGATATTTTGATAGTATGAATCTAGACTCATGAAAAACATTTACCTTTCCTTGCTCCAC